GTCAATCTAGTCCTAGTGAGTGCCAAATAAAGCCACCAATAATGAAGAGCCCATTAAGGTTGCTGAATTAAAACTCATGGCTTAACCATACATAGCACATGAAGTAGGTAAAACTCCAATTTCTCCTTGACAAGGCAAAGCTGGACACAAACAAATAAAGCCCATTTAAAAAATGTGTGGCCCATGTGGGCAGTTGTAAAACTGTCCTATACAAGGCTAACCCAGTGCTGGAGTTTTTTCTGGATTTAAAAAGTATACAGATCTTATTATCTATAGAAGCCTTGCACATGCAAAGTCATCTAATTCCAGTTGCTCTGATAGTTTAACAGTTATGTTCTTCCTGGACTAGGACAATCTCCTGGAGAATACAAAATATAGCTTTCAAAAACAATTAGATCAACAATGCATGCTCATCCCAAAGTCTCAGGAGCACCGAGAGAAAGGTTTGTAAACGAGTTATGGTATGGTGATTGTATGGTGATTGTCAAAGTTGATGAGCTCACAGCATAGGTTAAATGTAATGGCCATAGCTGAAAAACCACACACAAGTTAGCTGTAGCTGTGTCTGAATCCTAGAGACATAAATAAGTCTATAAATGGGGGCACTTTTAAATTAGTTAGTATAGCTGAGCCGCACAGCTAAAAGAATTGAGCTTTAAAACAACAGCATTAGCAAATTAAAGTAGAGAAATGCAGTACCAGGCACAGGAGGAGCATGACAAGGAGGATGGATGTGATGAGGACATGAGGCAGGCTTCCAGGGATAGATTTCAACCCTCCATGGTTTGGAGAAGATAGTCGATGACAACGTTGTCCTCAACGACCCACAGGACTCAGTTTCTTCTGCCTCTGAAAATTTGTCAAGGATGGGCTCATTAATGCTGCAGTGGCCATAAAAGGACCCCAGGATTTGAGCCATCAAAAAGAGGGACCATTACTGGTACTCCACCCTTTTGGATCCATGTTATATTGAGTAATGTATAATGGAATACTTGCCAGATCTTGCTTAGTATACATTCAAGCTGCTGCACTGCCCTGCAGCCAATGTGCTTTCATAATGTACATTTAGTGCAGCGGGGAAGGGGAGGTTGTGACAGAAAAAACAGTCTGCCTGTCCCCAGACAGAGTTGACTGGCTCACTTAAAAATTAACCAAACTTTTTATTTGAATTTGGCCCCAACAATATTATTGTACTGTCCAGCATAAGTATCTCCTTCCATCACTGCAGTCCTGTTACAAATACCACCTCCTGCCAACATCACCATCTACTGCCACCATTATCACATCTTGTCACCATTAACAGCTTTTTCTACCACTGTAGCCCTGCCACCACTGTAGCCCCGCCAGCATTACCATCTCATGCTGCCTCTACAGCTGTAGTCAAGGTGCCACACAGAATATTTCTGCAGCTGCTTTCTCCCTCTGAAATTGCATCCTAGCAAAAAAGGAACACACACAAAATATGCCTAGTCTCTGCCTTTTAAATTGTGGCCAACAAAGGCTGCTAACATAGTGGACATCAAGTATGAACAGTATTTCCAGCTCTTGTGTCTGAAATAATATACTTTTTATTTAATGGTAGAACCTGCCTTGTCTCTCCCTCTTCCTTTGCTGCCTTTTAAAAACATTTACATGATGTTCAGTGAGTCAGTGCAATATTTTTGGCTCTTGATTCATAATAAACTGACATTTTTCTCATCTCTACTTAATTTAATGGCCAATGAAAACCGCTTAGATAATGTGCAGAGATTATATACAATATTTATGGATGCTGTGAGCTGCCCAGTTCCCAATCAAACTTCTTACATACTTTCCTGTCACTGTGCAACATGTCTGGCTATGATTCCTACATGTCACTGTAACTTTTATTTTGACATAACAACTGCCTCATCTCTGGAATGTTGGTCTATGGATTTGAGGTGTTTTGGTGCATTCTGTGTTAACATTATATTAAACTTTGTTTACGATTCATTGCGGTACTGAAAAGAAGATCACAAGCTATGCCATGAAAATCATTTTGCCACTGTTTAGCAATTAGCATAGAGCTAATGACTTTAGCTGTAATCCCTTTTTAAATATATACCTTATGATAGATTTTAGATCTTTTGTGTCTGCTACTTCCACTGCTCATTTCTGGCCTATTACTGCAACATATAAATTGTTGTTTGCAAAATATATTTTTTTTTAGTGGAAATCAACCATATTTGTTTGCTGCAGCTGTATGTAAGGCAAGAAATAAATGTAAAAGTAAACAAAATTATTACACATATAAGTTATGTGATGCAGGAGTACAGTGTCACTGAGGCAGAGAACCACAATGTTCTGTATTACCAGATATATCTTAAATGTATCGCTAAGCATATTATTTAAAAACACATGGTAAGACCCTCTCACCACTGAATAGTATTTTTTTTGGCATTTGTATATGTCCCCCCTGGCAGTACCCAGCTCCCCATGCCCTTTTTTTAACAATCCCTTGCCTATTAGCCTTGAAAATGTCTAGAATTGACCTCAATGGGGTTCTGACTAATGTTTTAACTTCTGAGCAGTTCGGCGACCATACCACAAACCAAACCCAAGTGCATTCAGCTCATCACTAATTGTGACTCTGATGTAACTTCAAACATTGCACCTCTTAGGCCTCATTCACACGAGAAAAAGCTGGCATGTACAGCTCCGTGCTGCGTGCAGGGCCATTTCTGGCAGCTCCCAGGAAGGATAGGTGCTGCGTGCGATTAGTATGCAGCCCCTGTCCTTCTCTATGGAAGTACACAGCTGTATTGCGCTCTACGCTCACCCCAAGTGCAGGTCCATATGGGTGCGGGTGTCCTGGCTCGGACACAGACAGGATCCATCTTGTCAGCGTACGAGTACGGACACTCGCACCCGCACGGACGTGCAGGGCGGTTGATCGTAGGGCGGCGTACGGCGGCATACTCCCATAGAGAAGGACAGGGGCTGCATACTAATCACACGCAGCAACTGTCCTTCCTGGGACCTGTCCGATACGGCCACGCACGCAGCACGGAACTGTACGTGCTGACATTTCTCGTGTGAATGAGGCCTAACACTAAGAAAGCTTTGGTCCACATTCAATACCTTTATGACAATTGCAAAAATGTGCATTGTGCACAATACAATCATTATTCTGGTTATGGACTACTGCTTCAAATGTTTAAAGTAAGAAAAAATAGAAGAAAAACAGAACCTTTAAAAAACACCTTGGCATCCATGGTGATGTACAAATTGTACGCAATGTCGTTTCTAGAAAGGGAATTACAGAACAGTTTGTATCAGACAATGGCTCTAAATTTGCTTCAACAACATTTTAAAGGTTTACTAACGCTTATAATGTTAATTATACAACTTTTTGTCCTAAATATCCTCAGTCAAATGGACAGATTGACCAAACTGTTCAAACGGTCAAACATTTGTTTATACAGAGGAAGAGATCCATACCTTGCCATTCTGAAGTATACAGATACGCTTATCAATCCTATAGAATACCCAGCTCAAGGGTTCACAAGCTAACAATTGTGCTGTAAGCTGTCTGAGAAGCAACCATATGCTCTTGTTAAACAAAAATGAAAATATGAAAGCAATTCACTTTAACAGAACTTCAAGGTCATTGTACAGTACATATAGGAGGGAAATTAGGTCAAGATGCAAAGACCTGAAACAACATTTGTGCCAAGTCAGGCCCCAATTGAGGATTGTGGTATTTAAAAAAGGAACAGAACATGACTGGTCAAAATACATACATTGTTGCTTTCACGTGGGGTAGATCAGCCTAAGGGAAGACAATCTTGTGGAAACACCAGATCCACAGGTGGGCCCTACAAATACAAATACCAATGCAGTGACATCAGAAAACAATGACACATGGATAACAAATCTAATTTAGTAGTATAATTACTTTTTTCTAAATACACTGCCCGCCAGTACTCCTTTGCAGTCATGCTAGTGGTTGGGGAATAATGTACCTCTTTTAGGCAATAAAGTTCATTCTTAAAAAGATGTGCTTGAAAAAACATGTAGTAATGTGTGTTATGTGTTTCTGAAAACACTGATTAACATTTTTAGGGACCCCAATAAATTGATTATTATGGCACACTGTTAGTGATCCACAAACCATTAGGCATGGATCACTGTTTGTTTTTCATTGGTGTAAATAGGAACTATCAGAAGTAGTGTTTTTATTCACCTGCATGTTGCTTAAGCTGCATAAATCATGACAGCTTAGTCAATTCCTTTGGTCTGATGGCAATAGTGCAGTCTGTTCATTGCTCCAGAGATGCTAACCCCTAGACACAGATAGGACCATCTTCATGTACAGTTGCCCTTCTGTCCTTTATTGGCAGCCAATCCCTCTCTTTAGTGCAAAAAGGAGCTAGGGCACCTTGCAATAAATCCAATACTAGAATTTTTTACATAGGCGACAAAGAAAAATATCAGATGACTTGCTGATATGAGTTACAGATTCTGCAGTTATCCATGTGTTTGTTTTCATACATGTATGTGCATAGCTAAGAAACAAGAGTAAACGTGTAGAGTAGCAACAAATAAACCTTTTTACAGCTGTTGAAAAAAATTGTTGTTTGAAATGGAACCATATTAAAAAAAAAATTAGATTAAATGTCTATTACCAGTATAAAATTACAACACATACAGTACTGTCCCTTTTGATTTTAATCGCCCCACACCATATATACAGCTAGGACTAGATCCTAAAACAAACACATGTGAGATCTATAACTAAAGCGTATTGTCCTGCCAAATTGACTTTACCCTTTGCAAGAATTTCCTCTATCGTACCTTGCTGTGTCTTTCTTTTACATTTATTCAATATTTGCTAAGGTACTGTGCTGAGGGGACTCTGCTTTAATTGTCAAAGGCTTATAAAGAAATCCTGACAAGGGAGTGGGTAGAAAGTGGGAGGGAGAGAAAATTTAAAAGAGGACTGCCTTATACAGCAGCTTAATCAAAGTTAGGAACTGAGAGTGTGTCAGGGCAGTCTGGCTTCTACTGTGCGGAGTGATCAATGGGCATGTTTGATCAGTAAGGAGCAGCAAGGGATTTCAGGCTTGCTAACTTTGATGGACTATTACATATATTACTATCTGATTTTGGACACATTTTGGGACTGGCATAACCTCGCAGGTTATTGCGAACAAGAGAGAATTATCCTCCTTCCTTGCCTTCTTAGTTAAAGGTAAGAAAGCTGACTTGTACATAGTTAGGTACTTTACCTGTATGCAGAAGAGCTTCTGCAGATCTGCTATAGCTACAGACAGCCTGTAACAGCTCGCTACTGAATGCATTTTATCAGGCAGATAATGTGGGAATGAAGTATTTTTGTGAGAGAACCGAGTAGGTATTAGTGCTTGGTTGCTGTAAAACTGCAGTGAGAACTGACATTCCCTGTGACTGGTTTTACTCTAATCTTATTTCATCCCTCTTTTTTAATTCAGTAAGCAGACTCTTGTGATCTACAAAAGCAGTTTGACTCATACAGCACCTAGGATAGTGAGGGTTTGGAAAAACTGTAGATAGATAATGTTATGTGTTTATGACTGTGTTTATGGCAAATCTTGAATGCAGGTGACAGTGGTACATACAAAAAAAAGTTTGACTCCCAGGATACCACTTAATCTGCATCAAATATATCAATATGGATAGAAGATAGATGGATAGAAAGATAATAGATGGAGATAGATAGATAGATAGATAGATAGATAGATAGATAGATAGATAGATAGATAGATAGATAGATAGATAGAAAAATAATGGATAGACAGATAGAGAGATAGATACATATATACATACAAATAATTTAATGGATGTATGAATGTATAGATAAATGTATAGAGATAGATATATAGATTGATACATAGATAGATAGATAGATAGATAGATAGATAGATAGATAGATAGATAGAATGATAGATAGATAGATAGATAGATAGATAGATAGATAGATAGATAGATAGATAGATAGATAGATAGATACAAATACTTTGATGGATGGATGAGTGGATATATGTATAGAAAGACATTGAATGAGTGGATATATGTATAGAAAGACAATGGAATAAAGATTAATTGATTGATTGATAAATAATAGATAGATAGATAGATAGATAGATAGATAGATAGATAGATAGATAGATAGATAGATAGATAGATAGATACAAATACTTTGATGGATGGATGAGTGGATATATGTATAGAAAGACATTGGTATATAGATTGATTGATTGATTGATACATAATAGGTAGGTAGATAGATAGATAGATAGATAGATAGATAGATAGATAGATAGATAGATAGATAGATAGATAGATAGATAGAAAGATAATAGATGGAGATAGATAGATAGATAGATTGATAGATAGATAGATTGATAGATAGATAGATAGATAGATAGATAGATAGATAGATAGATAGATAGATAATGGATAGAGAGATAGATACATATATACATACAAATAATTTAATGGATGTATGAATGTATAGATAAATGTATAGAGATAGATATATAGATTGATACATAGATAGATAGATAGATAGATAGATAGATAGATAGATAGATAGATAGATAGATAGATAGATAGATAGATAGATAGATAGATAGATAGATAGATAGATAGATAGATAGATAGATAGATAGATAGATAGATATCTGTGTGTGTGTGTCTGCCTGTCAGCTGTTCTGCATTTCTGTGTGTACATATGCAGATATACATACTTATACAGACATATTTACTAGATACCATCAATGTGACACATACACAGGGTGTCAGTGCTATTTGATGTAATAGTACATTTTGGTTTATTAACTGCTTGCTGGTAAAGAAGGAAACAAATATGCATATTCTTGAGCAGTTTAAATGACTGTAGTTGTGGTCAATGTGCAGCTATAGCTGTTCATATCATAGGTAGTGAGAGGAAGTGACAGAACATTTGATAGAGAAGTATACTGAAATATTTAGACACTCTCCAGATGTTGTATAAAGTGTACATAACACTGTAATAGACAGTAAACACTGCAGTATCTCATACACCGTATTGCCTCAGCTGAGAATGCAGTACAACGAAATAATGAATCTATATACAGCTGCTCATCATGCCACCACCAGATTAGATTTATGAAAGATTTAGAAAATTTGACAAGTGTTGAACTAGTAGAGACATGAAGTGAATGCCTCTAGCAAGTAGTTTGAAGTAAGAGAGTTTGGAACAGTAAGAAAGGACTCTGTAGCTGAGAGCTCTGTCAAGCTGTACAAAGACGCGAAGATTACAGTTCAAGAGCAGAAACACTTTGGCAACTGTACTTTATTAAAACAGATTCTCATCTTAAGTACCACTCGTACAGAACATTAGAGGGGGTATTAAGGAGAATGCCCTGTGCCTACCTGTCTGCTTCTAATGACTGTTACATTTTAGACACTAAGAGAGGTTTTATTGTTATTTTCAGGATAATCCTGTGTATTTAATGTGCAAGCTAGACATACCTTTGGATCACAAGTAGGTCAAAACTGGTTTATGGGAATTGGAGAAGCCAAGGCTTCCCCTCAGTATAAATCCAATAAACTGTATGACAAATTGAAACTGTCGAATAATTGACTGGTGCTTAGTAATGATGAGCATACTTTTTTTAAATCTGTTACCAGTCTATCATTCTTGATCACTGCTTGGTTTGCTTATTATAAATAGCTAAAATATAATATTATAAAGCAAGTCTCCACAGCACTCCAAATTGATATGCTCCACAAAAGTCCATACAGCTGGTTAAGGTGATTCACACTGTTAACTAATGGGGGGTGATTTACTAACCTAAACACACGCACGCACCAGGTGTGTGTGATTTGCACACAGCAAAACGTATTTATCAACCAAAAAGTCTCTAAAAGCATATTTCCACTAATGCCATATATGGAAAAATCATGCACATGATGCATATATAATGCTGCTTCACAGTTTAGACAAAAATGGTTAGCTCATGCATTTACATTCCTGCATTCATCAACGCAAGCAACACAACGTAGAGCTAATTTACACAACATCACCTTGCAATTCATGCAGGGCTTTGCACAACACACCTGCTGGGTGTGTACACACTACAAAGGTGTCTAGATTACACCAATAGATCATGCTGGGAGGGAACACACTACAGAGGTGTATACTTGTTTGTGGCGTGTTTATAAGGTTAGTAAATCAACCCCATGGTATCAGTATAGTGAAGGCACATCATTTCAAGGCATTTTATCCTAGCACTTAAAGGTGATGTTATGTTCAGAAAACTTTGAAACAATTTCAATTGATTAAAGACCAGTCTTCTGAGACAAACCCTAACAGATTTTTTTTAAAGGGTCTTTATACCTAACCTTGATAGACTGCCACTAGCTTCCAATACCCCTGAAAAGGAAAATCTCTCCAGATTCCCCCGGTTTACCCACCTTCTCTGCAAAGAAGCTGACATTCCCTATTGCCACCTCTAGAAGACCCCTGCATTTGCTTTATCACCATCATCCTTAGTGTATCTACTGAATTCCTTAATTAAAGTCCACTGACACTGGCTTGTTACAATTGATGGATTCGCCATTTAGTGTTGTCATTATTGCCAATCTATGTTGTCACTCCAATGTTTTTGAAAGTGTCTCTTAAACAGACCAGTTGTTTTGTCAATGTACACAAGGGTGCATGGGCAGTTGAGGATGTAAACACAAAAATCAGTATCGCAATTAAAACAACTTTCTATTTGTATCTTTTGCCATTGTGTGGGTGCAAAAAATGATCACCACATATTAGTGTTTCACATACATTACAAATGTAGCATTGGTAGCGACCTGTTTTGTGTGATATTTTCAATGGCATTTTTTCATTGGTTTTGGGGTCCATCTGGACCAAATAATCACAAAGTTTTAATTAATTGGTAAACCTGCAGTCATGCAACTTTAACCTTGGGAGACAAACTCTTGTCAGCTTGTAGTTTGTTTAGGTTACAAATAGTGACTCTGCGTACACAATAAGAAGCTCTATTGCACTATGCTACAATCAGAATTCTCTCAGTGGTCTTTCCTTTGTTAATTTTTGCCCCATCAGGTTCATGGCACAACCAAGCGCCTGATCAAGGACCGCTGTTGGGCAATCCTGCCGCACAAATTTCTGGTACATTCCTCAATTTAACAAGTGCATGTAACTGAGACAAAGCAAATGTGTAGTACTCACATGAACTGACAGATAGGTGGATTATGAAGGAGATGTCTAGGATGGAAGTGTAATAATGTGTTTCTCTCAGTAGGTTTTGGATAGACAGGGGTTGAAACTTTCCCAGTATTTAAAGTGATGCACGCATCAAGAATAATAGATTGATGTTTCAGAAATTGAACACTATTCCTTCAAAAATCCCATTATGGCATTGAACAAAGCCTCTAAAATCAGAGACACCACCATCCCATACCAGGAAGATATCAATGTATTGCATCCATACCCTCACATGTGTATTATATAATTGTAAGGGGTACATGTCTACTTCCTCTAGATAGCCAACAAAAAGATTTGCAAAAAAGAGTGCAGTGGAGCTGCTCTTGGCTGTGCCTCGGATATAGACAAAGGTCAAATTCTCGAACATGAAAAAGTTAGATATGCATGTATAAAGTGACAAGGTGTCTATGGTTGTTAGTTTCCATTTCTCATGAAAAACAGGGAACGTATTTAATTTGGACAAAAGATTGTCTGTGTCCTTTACATAGGCTGGCAGCTTTTTTTTTAAAAAAAGGCTGCAGATAATAGTCCATTAATTGCACTAGACATTGTGTGGCCAAATCTCGGCCCAAAATGATTGGACAAAATGTTAAAGGTTTAACACCCTGGGGGATCTTTGGCAGCCCGTAGTTTACAAATATAGTTTTGTGTTCATTGATCAAAAACTCAACTGTCTCCTCCATAATCCATGCATTCAACTGACCAATATTAATCAGTGAGAAAGCATTTGTCAGGGTACTGCTCATTTTGTCATTAGTGGTCCAGGCGTAGCTAGAGGTGTCGGCGAACATTGTCAGCGTCCACTCACTATAATCAGCATAATTCATGTTTACAATAGCACCACCTTTAAAGGCAGGTTGGATAATTATTATATTATCATATTAGTATAGGTGTGCCCCTTATGGACATGTTCAATCACATAACAATTTATCGGGCAACTGTTA